AGATTCATCGCCAGAAAAAAATGATAACGTTATCGCAACCTACTTGTGCATCTTTGTCGAATTTACTGTACAACTCGTTGAGGGTTCTGACGAGATCTTTCGCGGTCAGCTGTGCTGCCAGTACCGTGAAGTTTACAATATCAGCGAATAAAATACTGAAAACTATTTACTTCGGCAGGTAGAATGTCTACTGTATTTAATGACATATTGTTTTGTTTCTATAGAAATAGTGCTCCGCTTTTATTTAGCTTTGATGTTTTTCATAGTAATGAACGGCTACCTCACATTATCGTGCACTTGCACGTGCAAATCATGGAAAAGTTTGTGATGCTTTGAGTTTATCCGATGTGCTGACGTACTGCTCGATTGAATGATGCTTTTACTGACTTTATCCGTAAGGTATGCAGGAATCACGGATAGAAGAAGTTGATCCTAAATGAACTTCAAAATTGCCATAGGTATTATCACGTTGGAGACCGCACAGGTTCGGCCGACCAGCACCTTCAGTGAAGTTCAAGAGTTATTGAGCAAATTGAGAACAAAAACCTATTCAGTGATCTAGACGAAATCTTATTGCATGAAATGGAAGAAGAAACAAAAGGAAAAACTGAGTGCTTTTCCAAAATATGGGTCGTAGGGTACCACACGGTTGACAGACTGCAGCCCACATATGGGCTGCATGGGCTCTCAAAGTCTTAAAAGTACGTAATTCCCCAACCGCGTCTGAGCCTAAGTCCGAACACTGAAGTGCCTTTCTTAATGGGTGGCATAGGACTAAGGAGTTATAGCGCGGCAACATGAAGCCATGGGACCGATGCAGCTCAATCGGATCTTACAAGGCCCCAGAAATCATCCCCTGATTCAATGTGCATTCAAAATATTTACCAATTCGGATCGAACATGAGTGCATGGCGTATTTTGAGCAGTTCTAGAAAGCTCCCAGATAAGACTTGAGGAGCAGAATTCTGATCTCTTGTTGACAACCTCCTCTCCCTGGCAAACTTTTGCTTTATTTCTTTCGAATTCTAAACCTGCGCGCTGGAGTTACTTACCTCTATCGTAATTCTCGCCTACGGGTAAAGAATCGGTTGATAGATCCTTGACAAGGGTCATATCCGCCGTATAGGGAAAAGGAATGCCAATGGAAGGAATAAGTTTTGTAGAGGTGGCCTCCAGAAAGGTGGAGGTTACCAAAGATTTTTAGAGATGAAATTTTACTGCCACTTGTCCTACCTCACGCCTATTTCACAGTTTCCGATTTCCGGGGGTTTCGGGAGGGGGGTGCTTAAGTGGGGATGCGAGATACATAGGGGAAGATGTGTAAAGGTAAAAATGGGGGTAGGGGACGTTAAAAAAGAAGATCGCATTTGAAATTTGTACAATCCCCTCTCCATCAAAGCTAGTTTTCCACAGACCTGTCGATCCTTCAAGGTTTCCAATTCAGTTCTTCTATAAACAGCTTCAGTGAGTTTCATAGCAATGTCAGCTCGATTTCCTGCCTCGTTCGAATCCGACACAATTCCTACGCAACTGATCATCAACTGTTGCAGAAGGAACGAAATTAACTGCAATAATAACACATTCGACGGCTGATTGCCAGCATTCTGTATCCATATAGTGACCATAGGTTTACTGTATAACAGTACTCGGAACTGCATTTGAAATGTTCAACTTACTGAACAAATAAATGTGTGATCTGCAATGATTGCGTCCATATTGATTATCAACAGAACACACATGTTTATCACCACCCATAATAAAGAAAGTATTAGAAATATTCGTCGATGACGTGGTAACACGAAAAATTGCACCACTGAAAAATAATTGTGACCGTAGCGTACAGTACCAATATCTGAATTTTTTTATTATAGGAATAGCAAAAACAACTATAACAACGATATTGAAGTTATGCTATCTATAATGCTTTACAAGAATGCTGGGTTGTGAACAAAACTTTCGCCCCAGGCGGGACTAGAACCCGCATCTCTTTTTATAATACCTAGAAATACCTCTATAGCTATCTATAGTAGTAATAGTAATAAATATGGTAGGGTAATGGTGATAAATATGAGAATAATAATGTTATCACAGGGAGGCCATTCATGAGCGGAGCGGTCAGACTCAGCCCAGTCCCGAACCTCAATCGTGGTTTTTGGGCAAAGGTGTTAACTATTACACTAGTGACAATCCCTCTATATATAAAGCAGTAAGGATGTTTGTCTGTCTGTCTGTCTGTCTGTCTGTCTGTCTGTCTGTCTGTCTGTCTGTCTGTCTGTCTGTCTGTTTTTTTTTCTTTTTTTTTTCTTTCTTTTTTTTTTTTTTCTGTCTGTCTGTCTGTCTGTCTGTCTGTCTGTCTGTCTGTCTGTCTGTCTGTCTGTCTGTCTGTCTGTCTGTCTGTCTGTCTGTCTGTCTGTCTGTCTGTCTGTCTGTCTGTCTGTCTGTCTGTCTTGTAACCACTAGGCTCACTCGCTACGTAGACCCATGAAATTGTAAAAATTAATACGAAGTTATTACGTATTAATATCCGTATTAATAGTAATAGGAATAATAATGATAATGATAATGATAACAGTAATAATAATGATATTAATGGTATAACCAAAAAAGAGTAATAAAAGACGTGCAAACTGTTGACCCTATAATCCTTTCTAAAGTTTCTGAAGAGACCGAAAAATCCAATAGTAAGGGTAAAGAGGATGTTGGTTGATGGTTTTGTTTGCGTTAAAGGCAAGATTCAGGGTTAAATTGATGAGGTATTTCTCTCAAATGTGAAGGTAGGGGCGGAAAGTGGACGTGCCAGTGGAAAAAAAAGGAAAAGAGAAACCGTGAAATCTTCAGGAAATACGAGCCTTTTGCTCTACGCTGCCGAGAAGTTCAAAAGGCCGATAGGGAGGGTTGACGGACTACTTGAACTCAGCCCTTTACCGCCTCTGCGCTCTCTAGCGAGTCCCTCTCCTAGGGCATTCTCTAATCGTCTGTGCTCTAGCCATCGCGGCAGGACCATTGAGGAAAAATCAAGTGTCCGTAAACCGATAGGGAGATGAGAGACAATGTGAGCGCGCAGAGCGCTAGAGAAGTACTAGTAGAGAGAGCACAGCAGAGAACTTAGTCGAACGTGGACAAGATGTCGAAGCGGTGGGCGGAGCTGGTGAAGCGTGCCAAAGTTTTTAGCGCCTAGCGTTAAAGTAACGCTTTTCGAAGTGAGGAAGTGACGCGACTCTGCACTTGCGTACCCAGCGCTTCTAGCCACAGTAAAGCTCACTTGGTGGGTCTGAGCCCGAACTTTGCCTTTAAGTCGCACTCTCAACTTCTATTCTAAAATTGCAGAAGCCTTTGAATGGGCATTCTGTGTCCATTTGTGACAATCGATGCCTGTGCCTTCACCCTCTCAGAAAAGCATGACATAAAGTAAGGAACTAAAACAGGGCCACAGATATTGTTGACTCAGTATATGGTCCAAATTCATGTACACACAAATGCATCGAAGATGTCTATGTCCAGAGCGCTCTGCGTACTCCAGTGTAGATAACGTTTTAATGCAGACAGAGAGCAGACATGGATAGAGCCATCCGCTGGCTTGGAATAACACAAAAATGTAATCCCTAGGATTTATTTTTCTATAAAATATTTTGAACGAATCATAGAAGCACGGAAAACCTGCTATTTTGTTATTGTTTGAAGGGAAACGAAGAGGGCTACTAGAGTTCAGTGCTATTTTACTTACCTGTGGCTATAACATAAGCGTAAAAGGGACGAGTGATCATACATACGTAAGTGAACTCGTTCCTGTAATATCTCTAGTTAAGATTTAACCAAACGAAACCGGCAACATTTAATTTTCATCAACTTCTATTTTCATTTTCCTTATTCATCATTCATCTTTATTTTACTTACTTTATTATTTTATTCTTATTTTTTATTTCAAAATCAATAATATACTTACCCTGCTTACAAATACAACAAGAGGAAGGTGTAGGATCCAAATGAATGCAGGAAATATCATTGACGTCACTAGCGATAAGAGAACTAGGCCGACTCCGCTGCTCTGAAATTGGAAAACATTCCCGTTTCATTGGGTCTACAAAAATCGGGTCGACAAGGATCCTCATTCCATTTCAATGACACAAGTATTTGTTTACTCTTATTTACCTATTTGTCTTATTGCGCATAGTTGTGAATCATGTGGACGGACCAGTAAAAGACCAGTAAGTGAACTCTATGCTTCTATCAAAAAGGAAGAAGAGAAGAAGAGCTGGTCCAGGGGAGCCAGCGGTACTCATACGAGGCTCCCTCGGAGGTAAAACCGCTCGAGAGAAAGTTCATAGGGGAAATGATCCCCAACAGGACGAGAAGAGCTAGCTAGGCCTGAATGATGGGTCAGCGGTAGGTGACCGGGAAATTATCTACATTTGTCGGCTATGGCCCCCTTTAGCGCCACAACGGGGCCATAGGCAAAACATGAAGCGGGGAGAGTATTTCACAAAAAAGTAAACGTATAGCCTCTCCATTTTCAGACTAGCCTTTGAAAAGAAGAACTATATACAAACCATGTTCCGCATAAAGTGCTAAAGTACAGCTAACTAACCTGATCCCGAAATCGTATGGAAAAACTGCTAATCAATAAATACACAACGAAAACAGCAGCAACGAAGAAACAAATAGGCGCGCCCATTTTTTCACCTGAAAAGCTTCTAATTTTTGTACTATACAAATTTGTATGATCAGTGTAAGGCAGTATTCCTCTCTATACGGTTTTGCAAGCATTTGTTGCACGAAACGTTGAGGGGTGGTTCAAAACATAAGGATTGCCGCGTTGCACCGCGTCGCGTGCGCGTCATCTATTTGCTCAGTCTGACGCAAATCGCCGCAGTACAAGCTGCGCGCCGGTGAAAATGACTCGGAAGTATTTCCGCTCGCGGTAGCCGAGTTTTTCGAGCGAGCCTCATTGGCGTGTCGGATCGGGCCATAGCCGGTTCGTAAGTCAAATTGGATACGACATCCTGCTGAGAGGGCGGGAGCGTGACGGGTGGGATAGTGAAGGAGTGCTGATTCGATCGTTATGCTTTGACTATGTCGCCTCCAATAAATATTTTTTCCAAGTCTTTCAGTGAATTTTCTGCAAAAAAAACGTTCTTTACTTACTCAACATTACGTTCCCATAGCTCCAAAACGCTATCCAATAATCCCCGAATACGACCCCTTCTTCAAACTGCGGTCAACTAATTGACCCTCGCCCCGACCCTTACCCAACCCCCATTCACTTGCTATATTTGTCGCAGGTAATAGTTCTGTGGCAAAGGATGTCCTGACACATTTGCGCAGTCCATGGGGTCAGGTACCACGCAGACCAGCCTAGAGCCCACATTTTCAAGGCTGCCTAGTTGATTTTGCCTATGGGTGAAAAGACTTATCGACATGCTATTTGGTTCTCCTTAGCGTCGAAATGAACAAATATGCTATTAAAACAATTTGGAAACTTTTGTAAAGACGCGTCAATCACCGTGCGTGGCCCGTGAGAGGCGATCATCTGATCACACCTAGTGCACTTCTGTCCAGTATAGACCTGTCCTCCCTACTACTCTCCGACATGCAAAAAGGGTCATGCAAATCCGCCGTCACTCATTGTTTTCCTCACTAGACATCCAGACACATCTAAGTGACGGGATGTCGAACTGCGAGTGTGAAATTGCCGACAGACTTGCCAAAACGAATCAAGTCAGACAAATACACAGTCATGCCATTTTCGGTGCTTGAACTTTTTGTTTCGAGTTATCAAAACGTTCCCCAAGGGATCGGTTGGCATGTTGAACCATCTAATCGGTAAGCCTGGTTCCATGTTGGAACTGCAGCTGTTAGAAGGAAGGGGTGGGCGTTCATCAGGAAACGGGAAGTGAAAAAATTCTATTGCAAGACTTGCGGACTTAAAGGCACGAGTCGTAATCTAGTTAAAGTGTTTTATTTGAGGAACATACAAGAAAGTGCTGAATGGATGGCTTAGGAGCCTCAAGTAGAACATTTAGTGTTCTTCAACCCTTTTCTAAACCGAGCAATTTAGGGTGTAGGAAACTTAGCAAAATCACCATGAAAGAATACTGAACTCTTTGGAGGTCAAACGTGAGAATGTTAGGAGCGAGTAACGGCGGCTGCGGAGGGGAAAACGCGAGAGAGTACGTAGGCCAGGGGCGCAAACGCCACGTCGCACGGGATTGATAAGAATGGCAGCGGTCGCAGCGGTCGAGCGGAGGTAATAGCTTCCTTGTCGCGCACTTTCGAGTCGCAGTAAGCACTACCACCCCATGATTAACGTCCGGCTATTCCAGTGATGGGAAGAATTTCTCTAAAATTGCAATCGCGACTCCTGCCTTTAAGTATTTGGAGTAGCACTAGGAATTATGAAGTTTGCGAGCGCTAAAGTAATCTCAGTTCCGTATCTGAAGACTAATTTTTTGAAAATCACACGGACTCACTTCTTCTTTATTCATTACTGACTGTGCTCGATCTTTCTCCACAGGAAGAAGTATCTGAAATTGCGTTATCAACACCATTACTGCTTGAAACAATCTCAAAATCGTTCGAGACACTCATTGGTCAGCGGATAGGGACATTATAGAATTTCGGTGCTAATTTAGTTGGGGGGGACCACGCGGCGGCGCGGCGCTCTGTTCGTCTGCTCCTCCAAGGCTTAGTCCGCCGATGGCGCGTATTTCGAAACTGCCACGTGGCGACGAAATAGTAACTGCCCCTTGGACTAAGCCTTAGAGGAGCAGACGAACAGAGCGCCGCGCCGCCGCCCCTCCCCCAACTAAGTTAGCACCAATAGTGTGTCTCAATACCTGACTATGCAGTTTTTATTCATCTACACTCCACTGTCTAGAGTATAAACGGATGACAAGCCTAGGCTCTAGTGCGATAGCTTCAGACGCTGCGCAACCGCTCGCGTCTGTAATCCATAAAAGGCAAACGAGAGAAATGAATCAACAAATTAATTCAGAAGATATAAAAAGCAAAGTAATAAGAAAGTCGTACCTCGCTGACTTCACTAAAGTAATAAATAATGAATATTTGTGCTACAGGTAAATCAGCATCCATAGTGCATGTATGAAGCAGGAGCTCGATACAAGTGTTTTCCAAGTGTCGTACCAGAGGACGGAGCGATCCGCACGAGTCGAACCCTCGGAGCTCGACATCTGACGCAGGCACTACGTGTGTGTCCTGTTCGTCCTCCTCGATGTTTGAATATCTCTGTAATCGTTTGAGTAGCCCCAGCTGGTTCTCGATAGAAATTTGTATGCCGATCAAAGAAATTAAAGACACGCCTGCGTAATGTCTTTGAATAAATTCGAAATAGCGAATATAAAAAAGAGGATTTAAGCACGGCGAAGCAAAAATTATGATTATGATATCAATCATGGGAATTATGCTAGAGATGGCCAATTTTGTTAGGGATGGTGGTGCACGAAAAAAGAAAAAAAAAACTAAGAAAAAACGGTCCTAAACCTGAGAAACGGACCGTTCCCTCTGTCTTCGCCTTTATGCGACTCTCATTGTGCTGCTCTCGTTCAACACGAAACGCTTCACTGCTAAACGGCCAGAGGCTGAGAAACGGACGGTGACGCAGAGGAGAGGCGTACCGCACCATAGCGCTGCGGAGGAGAGTCACGCAAATCGCCGTGGCCATTTTTCTATTTCTCTATTGTTCTCATATTTTTTTCTTGCTTTCCTCGCTGGGAATCGGGATGTTCGATCAACATAAATTTCACTTCTCCGAATTTCGTCCTTTAGTGCGTGCATTCTCCGTTTGAATGAGTGTGACTTTTGGTCCCATCACTCCATGTTGCATCATCCTCGATGCTTATGAGATCTACTCTATCAGTAGTGTGGCGATAGCAGGAGCGTGGCAAACCTTATGAACATAAAATGCTTTACTTTGTCTCTTTTCATAACCCTTGTCATGATGAACTAAATGCAGTGATTACGATAGGTTCAAGAAGCGTTATAGGAGACTGGTGGTGCTCAATGGTACGCTAGTAGCGAAAAAAGCGGGAGGATCCAATCCATGCCTCAGGTCGAGTTGCTTCAGTTGTGCCGCTGCTGGCAACGCAGCTCGTCCAAATCACCAACTAAACTAGTGGGCGGATCGCTTTTGGGGGCGGAGTGCTTTCGAAGTCCTGCTCAGCAACCAGCGCACCTTTCGTCGTGAAAGCGCTACACCTCGCTTCCCTGGCAGCCAAGTAACTGATTCGTGTGGTGCATATGCTTCCCCGATGCGCTCCCTCTTTATCGTAATCGCTGCCTTTAAGCCTGAAGTAACATTTGGAAAGAATCCTGTAGCAGCAAGATTGAACGAGCAACAGTACAGTGCAAGGCGATCATAGGCAAAATGCTGTCAATCAGTGAAAGGTCCCCAAGAGCGTCCAGCATGCGTCTGAAATTGGCTGCTATCATCGTCAACAAGGAAGGAAGAACGCGATGCTCACGAAGAAAAAAAACCGCTCACTATCTTCCAGGGCCCCCATGAGGAAAACGGGCAAAAAACACACTTGTAAGAAATAATCCATCAGTTAGCCTTCGTACTATATTGCACCCCAGGGAAATTCATGGCTTTCCCGTTAAAAAAAAGCACTTTGGCTCTGCATCATGTGTAGTGCGCGACGTAGGGAGCCCTTTCCGACAAATTTCGTATTTGTCGAAGTCAAAAGATGTCGAGTAATTCTGGATATTGAAAATAACATATATGCTTGAGATAGAATGATCGTGACAAGCG